GCGGTATGCAGTCAATGTAAGAGGTGCTATTCCCCTTAGGGGAGGAGGAGTTAGGGAGAAAGTATTTTTGTGACTATCTGCATTGTGAATTTGAAGACAATTAGAAGGAGAAATAGACATAGGTAGAAAAACTACTACCAAACAATGGTTTGTTCCGTCCCTTACCTCATACAAACCACGGTAAACCCGTGATTGTATACTATGGATAACGGTAACTAACCCATAGTCTATATGAATCTCCGTGGAGAAATAAGCAAAAAAAATCATGGAGAACACCTAGGGACCTGTCAGCATCCCTGGACGGGGTTTTTCGGACCTGCGCGTTCTATGCCAGAAAAGCGATATCCTGCCACCTCTGGCTCACTAACAGTTTCTTCGCGTCATCCAATGTTACTACTATCTAACAGTAGAAAGAAAAAGGAAATAAAAACGGGGCAAAAACCGAACTCGGGGCAGAAGTTGCCCTTGACTTTTGGTGGGCGGGACAACTAAGGAGGCGTCAGAAATGCCACTTCTGAGGGCCATAGCACCTCGTTGCTTATTGTGAAGCCGCGAAAGTGGGATAATCTTAGAGAATGGGGCCAGAGTATCTATACGAAAAAGAACCCCTACCAATTATTCGGGCGCGGGGACTGTTTTCGAGTATGAATGGTGCAAGGCTACTTCGCACATACGCGCAAATTTACGCATAATTGCATGACGCCCGAGCACAGAAAGTGCTGCCGAAACGGGCGCGCCTGTACAGACTTTAATAGTATACATGTATACAGTACATATTAGTAAAACACAGTATTCTAGCTGGCATAGTGCGGTAATTGAGCCATTGCATATTTATAAGCCCCTGCAGCGCAACGAGGTTGAGATGGACTTGAGTCTGAGCATTTTCGTAGGTATCCTTTCTCAATCTATCTGTTTGCGAAAATTATGGAGAGTACTTGACTGAAGTAACTGACTGTATTTATGAAGCTGAGCCTTTGAAGTTAGGACCCTAACCTAATAATATGGTACAACTCCAGAGATTGAGCAGGAAGGATTTTAACTTGCGCTCAGCGTGGTTTTTCTTACTTTCCTTCTTTCTAGTGGATAATAACGTTTACGATCCACAAATCTCAGACAAGTTGGAAAGCATGAAGAAGTCAGATCTAGAAGGATATTATAAGGGCGATCCGGTAAGGAACATATCTTCGTTTTTTGTGGTTTACTTCCAAATTTTGTGATATATTGGCCCTTCGAGTGCTGATTCGAGTTAGTTGTCTTCTGCAGATTTTGGAACACTCTACAAGCGCATGGTCGTAGCGGCTGCGTGTCTTTTCTGGCCAGGCTGCGCTTTCAACATCTCAGGTTATTTTTGGCTCTTGATTTTTGGTTTCATCGTTCTTTACAATCTTCACATAAGTTTTGCAGGGCTACGACCAGACATCTCACCACCGTACAATAAGGATCTACCGTTCCGGAATCGGTTTGACATGGTTAGTAAAACATGAAAACAATAACAGACAATAACGCGATCTTCCAAACGGAAAAGGAGAATCTGCCCTGAGGTTCCCAACCCGACGCCCGGTCACGCCATGCTTCTAACTAATGGATCGAGAATGCGCCGTTGATCAACCCTTTAAGATGCGACGCGCAGTTATGTATTGGATGAGATGTGGCCTAAACAATCACTTGCGAGGGAAAGCCGATGTGCAAGTTAGTGTTCTCATCCTCTCGGTACCGTTCCCGGACCGTAGGCTTGCTCCCGGGCGGGAGACGACCCGGGATTTGACTCCCAGACTGTGCTCGCGGTAGACGTGCCACCTGCCACTACACAACCTCAGCGTCATGCACTCAGTACTCATCCAAATCTCCGAGGCTTCAGGATTGCAAGTGTCGTACTTGCTGCTCTTGTGCAGCCAAATACCTTCATGTTCGCTGCTCAAACTTAGCGCTGCCTGCAGCGATCAAGGCGAAAAATTAACAGTCATTTTTGCTCAAGGAGAGAAGTCCACCTCCATAGTATTCTGTGCTCCTCTGAAGGCTTGAGGAAATTGCCACTCTAGCCACAGCAAGGGGTTTGTCCCCAATGCACAGTTGCTGGGTGAATCAAGAGGTTGTGAAGGTGGAAAAAGTTGTTCCTATCTGCCGCTCATCGTACAACCTTTTTCTTCATCATTGTGAATCTAGCGCACTCTGACAGACCATATAGGAAGGTTAGTGTGATCTTGGCCAAATCGACTGAATCATGAAAGTGCCTTCAGCGAACTCCCTTCCCCACATCAATTAAGAACAGGAGAGACTATTAGTTCGACCACGATGACTTTCGAGGGAGTGGTGCTATCATTCAATTTCGGCTAATTAAATTAACTATTTACTGTTGTTCTTTGCTTTGTGAACTGTTTCCAATGTCGCCCAGGAAATCTAGAGTAAGGGGAAAGTAGGTACTATTTCGCAAGCAGGGTATATTCCCCTCACTTCGAACAGCACTGACAGCATGGACCAATTCCGAATTGATGAAAAAGGATTTGCCTTTGTGAAATCGCCAGCAGGGCCTTATGTCGCCAACAGGTTTAGGGGTCGTGTGTAAGCAGGCGGTCAGTCATCAATCAATACGAGTTCTGCTCAAAAACTCCTGGGCAGACCCCTTCCCCATCCTACCTGCCATCTTCCTCAATTGTTAGACTTTCTACCACTTTGCCGGTTTTCTAGAAAAAACTTTACAAAGAACTAGTACGCAGCGGGGACAGAAGTTGGTGAGCTATCTAAACGAAGCCGAGGTAACCTCTTTGAATAACTTTCCCGCGCGCACCCCTTCGAGTGGCTCTCATTGGAGCGCGCTATTTCGCAATCACTACTATTCCGTTGGCGGTCTACTTACATTAGTAGCTACTGTTGTGACGCTTAAAATGACAGTACACCAATGAATACCGGAAAAAGTGAACACTCATCAAACTGGAAAATACGCGCATTCGTGCATTATGCGAGTACAAACATGAGATATGACAACGAGCGTACAACAACGTGCGTGTGACCAACAACGTACCATATCGTATAGAAAGCTAGTTATTGTAGAATACAGTCCAGATCTTGAACCGATCTTGAAAGGCGTTCGAAGCGAGGTGTGTTCGAACATAGTTCGGTGTGTTTGAACATAGTATGCATCCCACCGCCTGTTTGGTCCTAGGACCCACTGCATCTTTTCCAGCAGGTCTGTGTGCCGCAACTTCAGTTTCGTTTCGCCCCATAGGAAAAACTCAGTTTTCAGACTATCGACTTAGCAAATTCAGCATCATCGAAAGCGCCGTAGTAGTGAATGCCCTCATCTCCACTGTGCCTGTCATGAAAGTATGGATTTGGAAGCGCTCTTCTGCCTCAGAAATTTCGATGATCTCCCCATTACCATAATAACAGTCGCTCGTTGAGCGAACTATCCCCGCTTCTTTCCCCCGGCTTTTGTCGCTTTTTCCAAGTGTGGTAATTAGCTGTCGAGGATTCATGACTGTTCCCTTCAATTGCTGTCTTTTTCCATCATTTCTCATCCAACGCTTTCGCAAAGTTTCGTTATTTGGTTACAGTAGTCCATCACACCAATACCTTATGCTGTACATCCAATGTGTTTTGAGGAACTTAGTGAAACCAGCAAGATATGTACTTAGATTGCAATAGCATTGGACGTCCCTTGAAGTTCCCCTTTTTCAAACTTCCGGGCGTGAAAAGAATTTTAGTTGATCTTCCTCAATTGCGACTCTGTCACTACAAGTTATTGATCATTACTGAGTAGTTGCAATAATCATTGATACAATCAGGAATATATGGGTGCTAACGTATTTGGGGGACTACGCGACTCGCGGCGAGTGATGACTCATCGGCTCTTCACTCATCGGCATACTTGAGGCGCGAATCTAGCAGATAAATTAGAACAAACGAACAAGGTCCACAGGGAACTTGCTGAGAAATCCCACAGAAGCTGAAAACAAATGTTTGATCTTTTGAAGTCAACAATAACAGTCAACAACAAACAGGCAACAATCTTTTGTAGTTTAGGCAAGAATCTTCCAGCCTACAACTGCTCCTCCGCACGTGTTAACTGTTTTACCTTTTGAATATAGCTAGGACGGTGCTATATTCATGTCCGGAACATGAAATTACTTTCATTTTGCTGAGGAGTTAGCAGAAGAGCAGATGAGTCATCGCTCGTCGCGAGCCGCGTGGTCCCCCCCCCCCCAAATACGTTAGCACCATATATTGGAATCGATGAACAAATCTGAACAAAAAACAACAACTCCTGTGAACCTGCGTCCGGGCGGTTGTGTACGGTCCATAAAATAGTGCGCCCCAATGAAGTCGATTCAAACGGGTGCGCGCGGGAAAGTTATTCAAAGAGGTTACCTCGGCTTCGTTTAGATAGCATCCTTGGAACTACTAATTTCATTTATCGTAAAACACTGGCTGCCCGGGAACACTCCAGCCAAATATAGGCGATCCCCATCGACTAACTACATCTTCCCCCTCCTCCCTCCTGCCCAGCAACTTACTGAGCCTTCTGATCGGATTCTATCTACGCGGCTGTCCTTGGGTGGGAACCGGATCAGCGTTGTAGAAAACCCTGTTGTGAGAAAAAAGCTTTGAAAATGAAGGTGATACCAGAAGTACGCGGGGGTACTATTTTGAAAAGGGTGTGATAGTGCACATTTTAGGTTCTAGACTGGTTGCTGCAACCGAAAACTAGCCGTCCTGGGCTAATTACCGCTTATCTAGACCAACCTGATAGTGCGGGACATTATCAAGTAGATGAAAGAGATGTAAGTTGACGGCTGCTTTTTTCCACATAAACGCCTGATGCTGCTGAACATTCAGATCAGGGACCAAGTTGCCCAGTTGGACGATCGCTTGCAGTATCTCATCAAACGACTCGACGCTGAAGGACTTCTTCCATGCATCAACCTCGTCATCGTCTCCGATCACGGTCAGCATTAAGTGTGCGTTCATACTTTGCGGCAGCGTCCATCAGCGACCAATAGCGTCCGCCACCGTTCCGAGCATCTGGCAGCGTCAGCGACTAGGAAAGCATAGATATCGATCAACCGTCTGCCACAAGTACAGGTATCGATCTAGCGTCTGCCAGCTACCAGCAGCCTTCGGGATTGGAGAGTATGGGGAGATAGGATGGTAGCAGACTGCTGGTAAGGGCATGGCGCGATAGAGGGTAGCAGAGTACCTTCCTATTGCCTTATATTCTACCAGCAGTCTGCTGCTGGTCGCGCTGCTAGTCGCTGGTGGACACTGGTAGACGCTAGCAGACGCTAAATCGATGCATACACTTCCTTAGCGCGGGAGACGCAGCTGGTCGCGGGTGAACACTGGCAGACGCTGGTAGACTCTGACAGACGCTAAATCGATATTATACTCTCCTAGTCGCTAACGTTGCTTGATGCTGGAATGCGAAAATCTGGTGGACGCTAGTGGTCGCTGGTGGACGCCGCCGCAAAGTATGAACTCAGCCCAACATAGCCGAAGTCTCATGGGAGTTGACCTTCTTCAGAATAGGTCTAATTTAGGTATGCAGAAGACGAACAATACTAGCTACTTCTCCGAAGTCCTTCCTGACCCGAATGTCATCACAGCGTCTGGAGTCATCGGAAGAGTGCACAAATACAAATCATGTAAGTGCTAAAAAATTTTTAAATCCGCTGCTTGCGTGCGTATTCAACTCTATCGTCGGGCTTGCAAACTGTTACTGAACGATACTGACAAGAGTTCTATAAATAAGTCATATATACAACAGATAGTGCTCGATAGTATCATGACGTTTGGAATATATCAGAATTACTATGAACTGGTAAATCAGAAGTGACGAATTCAGTGAGGACAGCAGTGTGCTAATCTGTCTGCGACGAACCCCACTGCTGTTTACCGAAAGTGATGGCCTCCGAAATGTTGAACTGGAGGGAACGTGTTGTTATATACTGAGATGCACTCTCTTTCATAGAGAACATGTAAGATCGAATATATTAGGTTGGAAGGAAAGTCACGTCAGTTAAGCGACAGTCACGTCAGTGTTTCATTGAAAAGCTTTACACTTTTTGGTTGCTTTATGGTCGACATGGCGTGTAGCCATGACTATGCGCAGAACATGCTAGGAACTTTCGCTGCGAAGAGTTGTCGTGGAGAGCGCCTGCACCTTCCTTGGGCTTATTACGATGTCAGTTTCACAGGAGCATTTTCGGGTCATTTATTTATTTATTTATTGATATACACTCAAGGGTGCGCCGCAAGTTATGGGAAAGTGAAACAACACAGTTAGTGCATAATACAGCCAGGTATACTGATAAAAAAAGAATAAAACATCTGGAAACAACACAATAACATTTAAATAAGCAAAAAGAATTAGGAATAATTCAAAGGAAATCTAGGTAAAGCTTATAGGCTGTGTTTCGAGGCGGAATTTGAGAAATCACCGTGACCATCCTTGTGTGTAGTGTAAGGCTGTCCCCTTCAGGCAGGTCCCCCGCGAGATCCTGGTCCTTGGTTCTGAACGCAAGGATTCGACGACAGTACTGGGGCTTGCTGACAACTTAACCCGTTACGAACGAATTCGTCCGGGACCCCAGGCGAACAAACCAAGGGGGACCTCAAGCGAGGGGTTCATCACCCCTCCGGCTCATCAAACAACTGGTAACACAGTTCGAGCCCGCGGCCGTTCACCAAAGCATACTTTTAATTAACCAGCCTACAGCCTCCTATTACCAAATGGTATTAGCAAGAGAAGGTGCCTAAGAACATATTGCCGAAGTACGTGACCTGATCTCAATCATGAAATAGCAAATAATAGACGGGAGTATTCAGTCACTCCCTGAATACAAAGTTTGTCCAGCTAACGCAACAGTTTCTTATCATCTTGCAAGATAGACCAACGGTTTTGAACGAACCAACCACGCACTAGAAGACATACCAGACCAGGTCATCATGTTCTATCAGTGGCCCCCGGCACTGGAGCAGCGGCAGCTGTCCGCAACATCAGCAGTGCATTGGCGGAGGACACCACTACCATCATGACTGTCCATCTTTGGTTCGCTCGCTTCGCGAAAGGAGACACGACCCTCGAAGGCAAACCTCGGTTGGGACGGCCCACGAAGTGGAAGACTCCACCATTCTCGAAGCTGTCAAGGAGGATCCAGAGTTACCACCCGCAGTCTTGCGACAAGACTCGGATGTACCTAACTGACAGTCGTCAACCGCCTGTAAGCCCTTGACTACCGAAAAGTACTGGCTCGATGGATCACTCATACCTTGACCGATGGCACGCTGCGCACCCGGGC